GCAACCAACTTACACACGTGGTCGATGCGGGCCCGAGCGCGTTCCTTCACCGCATCCGGCGAGCTATCTCTGTCTGTCAAGTTGGACCGCATAACGGCTCATCATCGATGTGAGCATCACCAGACTCCACGGATTTGGGGTGTTGGCAAATCTGCACCAACGCGCTGAGCGTGTGGATGGTATCTGTAGTCTGATATGACAACACGTCAGCAATACATCGCGCGCGCAGATCTCACTCACCAGCTGCATTCGTACCTGTGCAAGACCAGTCTTTGAGTGCCCCCCTTTCCCCCTTTCAGCTTTCGTGAGATGTGACTTCACATCTGGCAGCAGGCCACCCCAGAACGACTCTCTCTGGTCTCGGCCTTGTTCTTGCGTCGCTCATAGTAGTACCCCGTCTTCACAGCAGGTCAGTAGCAGCTTGGGCGTCTTTGCAGAGCCTTGGCAACGCACGATCGTCAGCTATGTGCACGCGAGTGCTAGTCATTTGGTTTGGATTCCCCACCGTTGCAGAATGTGAGTCATGTGAACACCGGCGAGATTGGGGATTCGAGCGTGAACGAGAGGGCGCAATGGAGTCAGAGCCGGTGAGAATACGAGAAGTCGCAGGAAGTTAGAGATGATACCGAAGCACGAACACGACCAGGACCCGGAGCTTGATTATTTCATGCGTCTTGATGCTTGCGACTCTGCCGTGCGAGAGGCGGTCGACGCCCGAGGTTGCAGAGGAACATGGCGGCCGTGGCCCGTGAGAAAAATCCGCCGATCAACTTGGCGGCCGTCGACTCGTAGACGCTGGGAAGGGACGCTACCAGTCCGGAGGCTCTCCGAGATGGCGTTCTGACGAGGTTCAGCGCCGGCAGGTGAAAACGATGAATGTCGTCTGTGGAGTGGGCAAATTGGCATGCAGAAGAGAAGAGACTGCGCAAGATACCTTGTTCGTGGACGTCTTCCCGTGCGCGGGGTTGGCAGAGCTGTGGCGTTGCGCTCGCCGAGAACTCACTTGACATTAATGGTCTAAAATGTCGCAGAGCACCCACGAGCTTCGATCGGTTCCTTACGAGGCCTGGAACGCGGCTTTGGTGGGTTTATCTTAGAAGGATGCCTGTCTTTCCATCGTTTCCTCGGCTTCCCTTCCATGCTCGTACGCTTCTCGCTTCTCGTGTGTCTATGACGTCACTTGCAAAACTATGCATCGTAGATTGATATCTCAGTCCAAACGACCAACTCTACCTGCGGTCTGTGTGGCAAGTTTGGCTGATAGGAATCCCTGCGCTGCGATGACTCGGGAAATGTGGCAAATGGCGCTGGCCGTTGTCCTGCACCCTAAAATGCAGAAAGCACCGGCGGATTTACATGGGTGGTGACTGCAAACGTGCTTTTCGACGCAAAGGCTAGGCCAACGAGACACATCCTTTTGGTCGCGCCCTCGAGACTGGATGTATGCCACTTTCGGCGGCAGAAGGGAACCTTTCAGAGAGGACAATAACACTTCCGTACGTACATTACCCGTGCGCCAGCATCTGGAGTGTTCTGTGGGGGAGGTCCAAGGTTTCTTCGCCTCTGAGTAGTCTGTAGTAAACAAAGATGCTTGTATGCCGCAGTGTTAGCCTCGCGCTCTTTGTATGTGGTTCCATGCTGCGAACACGTCGGTGCCAAGGATGCCTAGAACCTCGGACGCTTGGTCAGGGTATCCGATCGTGACGCTTCATTGCCTTCGGTACATCCAATTTGGAAAAGGAGTCAGCACATCGAAACTCTCTGAAAGCTCATGTGAAGGATACCTTGACGTACAGTTGTCTTTGGCGTAAGCATGGCTTGCTACCAGAGGTCGTCTGAGCTAGTAGTAACTACTAGAAGAAAATTTAGGGAGGGTCGAGAAACATTTGTTCATTTGTTACTACTCCCTGTGTTTCTGTAAATGCGGTACAAATTAGAGTCTGTGTTTCTTGTTCTTAAGCGTCCTTCCATCTGTATGCATGAGGCCCCCGATAAGTAGTGATGTGTACGAGTGAAGTTTGTCGACGCAGCTAGACGGCGGCGGCGTGACCCACTTGTCCCGATTTGGACAACGCCACGTGGAGCCATATGGGCCGGGTGCCGCAGCGTCTCTGTGACTACAGACAGAACGCGACTGGGAGTCGCGACACTCATGCACAGATATCGCTGAGGTATCTCACCTGCCATGAGGTTCTAAAGTATTGCTCATCTTATACACCAGTGCTATCTCCGATCAAGAGTCTTTGCAATCTCGAGTCTGTGCGCCACCGTGTCTCGGCGTCGAGCTCCGTAGGTCCTTGCCTGTTCTAGCTTCCGCTTTTCGCTTATACACTACAAATACAACAATAGAATCCACATGGCGGAGGATGAGACGTCCGAGCCCCTATCCGTCTATGAGCTGCGTCCTCCAGAATGGCTTCCAAAAGTCCACGTTAGCGCAGATCTTGGTGGGTTCATGTCTCACGGCAGGCATTCCGGCTTTTTGGAGGGGAGAAAAGTCGATAGAAAGGGGAGGCAAGAGGTAAACTATCCACGAACACGTGGCATTCTGGAACACAAGTCTTGTGAAATGTTCTGAAAAGCCATGATTTCATGGATAGTTTGCCTCGTGCCTTCCTTTTTCATCAACTTTTCATGAGTCAAGAAAGCCGGAATGCCTGCCGTGTCTTGCATGAATGTCGCGTATGTTGAGCGAACGTCATGTCTCACAGGTTATATCGGCTTTTCCCCTCCTAGACCTCACCAGGTCGAGGAGACGCTCACAGAAGCGAATGTCAAGAATGGCCTTCAGCTTCCCCACACAGTACCTGTACGACTACAGTGTCTCGGGAAACAAGCCTCATCTTACATTGCAACGTTTAGGCAGAGACGTACAGCGCACAAGACTCTAATCGGAAGCGTCTGATGCAGGAGAATGCACTCCATGAACTAGAGGACCTAATGAACCAGATCTTCGCTCGAAAGGCGGAGAGTGTACCTGGGATACCGTGTGTATACGACATCTCCGGCAATGTGGGCCGCTTCGCTCACCCTCCGATCCCAGAGCTTCGTCGTTCCGCCTGCCGTCCAGAGTCACACTCAACGATGCTAAACGTCAGGCATGGTTCGCTGACCTGGCAAACCCCGATGTCCCGCTAGCGAAGCTCGGCAAGAATGTCCCGCATGGAGCGAAGGGCCACGACCTCCTTGACTTGCTCCATACCAACAACGTTGCAATTCCTCGCGCGGTATGGTTTCTCCGTGTCTTTGGAGCCAACGAATCGGTGCGTCCCTGAGCTAACGCGGTGAGAGCGACCTAACGAGTATACAGGCGGGGTTGCGGAACAGGCCGACCTATAACCCAACCCAATACAGCGTCGAGTGGGCCAACGTCATGACCACCTACCTAAAGAAGCAGCTCGCGGACATTGCCCTTCCCAGCGCCCCGCGCCCTGGCCTGAGCATCAAGCAGACGTTCAAAGGCGTGCTATCGGACGTCAGCACCCGCGAAAAGTGGATCTCTCGTTTCACATACTGGTGAGCGCGGGTTACGTATGACTCGTCCAATTGTCCAAATCCCTTAATCTGGGGCGCACGTTGGACAGTTTGAGTCTGTTACGCACGTTCTATGCGGAAGGTCTGGTCGACAATCGAACGTTCCTGTCGTGGCTGGTCCAGCAGATGGCTACTTGTAATCTTGCTCAGCTAGGATTCGTCGCTCGGTTGGCGGATGAGTACCTGGACGGCATGCTGGTGAGCCGCGCGCTGACGCATCCTGTCGTGGAAGCGTGCTTGGCCAAGTATGTCGAAGTGAGTAACTGTGACCGCGAAAACCTGTGGATTGGATGTTGATTGAGAGGCCACCACAATCAGATACAGGGCTCGGCTGCCAAGGAGCAGCTCACGAACACAGCGAATATCCTCAGGAACCTCATCTCGGTGGGGAGAGTTTCTGCGTTGACCGACGCGCCACTCACAAGATCACTCTGTAGCGTTCGTTCCTGTCTCTCCCAGATGCCTCTGTCAGCCCTCGAATGTATATCCAATACGGCTCTGTGCTGGAAGATATCTTGTTGGAGAACTTCGCTGCGGACGTATCAGACAGCGCTGCGCAGCCGAGTCTCCAGTCGCTACACCAGACGGTGGTGAACACGCTGTTAGACGTGCAGCGTCGGAACGAAGCCATGCTATTCCACCATCTCCCTCCCCGGGTACTCGGCACGCTTTCTTCTGCGTTGTCCGATATCAAGGTGAGCGGTTACGCACGCACATGCGGCATGTGCTCACAGTTGGTACTGCAGCTCCTCAACTCGATCTCCGGGAAGACCGATCTGACCAGCGTGGCTCTTTTCGAAGACACGTTCGATATCTCGGAGACGTTTACCCGGAAACTGGACTTCCTGCTGACCTGGAGCGTCACTCCGCTTCAGTACGGCGACCATCGACCGTACGCTGCTGCCTGTCTTCTCCAGCTGTGGAGGAACAGGGCAGAGGAGCGCGCGATCAGGCGGGACGCGCCTTCCTCGGACGATCAGATACAGAGTCTGTTGTTCCACTGGTTGAACAAGTCTGAGGTCGCCGGAGAGCCGAGCAATCTCCCTGCCGTGGCGCTGCTGTTCGGCCAACTCGTCAAGCATGGGCTGTTCTCTTTTGGCATGTACATGCAGCATCTCGTCGCACGAGGAGAGGAAGGCTTGTCGTATACTGAGCCAGAGGCAAGCCCTACTTCACCGTTGGAGTGAATACCAAAAGCTGATATGAAGTCGAAATTAGGGAGGCGAGGTGTCGCGACATCGCGAGTTTCTCCGATGGATCCCTCTCCACGAGCCGAGCCCCTCGCTCATGAACGAGCGGAAGGGACTTCTATATGGCCTCCGTGTGCGCGAGACGCCAGAAGAAGCCAACGAGCGGGAAATACGTAAGGAGCTCCGTTCACTGCTCCCAGAACTCTTCGGCGGTAGGTACATCCCGAATCGTCACCATCTGTGTGCTGAATACGACCACGGTGCTCTAGGCGAACCCCAGTCCGGGCAAGCATCGACAACCACATTCTGGCTATCATGTAGCAGCTTACTGTCAGCTCCGCGTTTTGAGCAAGTGAAGACCATCAAGCAATGGTTCCTGCCTATCTACAAGAAATGGCTGTTGAAGTGAGCTTGCGCATCTGTTAATCGAAGCTCACAATCCACTGATACTCGGTTATGTGGCAGTCAGAGCGAGCTGAACTTCGACTCTGAGGCGCTTGTATTGCGAGTCTACACGTTGACAACGGTGATTATGGCTCGCATCAGGTCCTATGGGTCCATTCTAGACGTAAGTACCCCGTCCTGTTGCGCTTATCAGACCCTGACGTCTGTGGTAGATGTCCCTAGCTACCCTTGAGCACGCCACCAGTAGTCCGCTACTCAACGCTGTCATCGAGACGCTGCGGCAGCATATGGAAGTTTGGGCTTGCATGAACCGCATGCAAGGCGTTGCCTCTGCGCTCTGGGCCGTTCACCAGACTTGGCGAAGTCGCGGCTCGCAGAACCGCATGCTATTGAAGCTTCTTGCAGAGGTTGACAACGATACGTACCTGGAGCCTGCAGCGCGTGAACAGATGCTGTCGGATATATCAGCTTATACTCACGTACGTTCGTCCCTTCTCTCTATAGCGTGTCCTCACGTCCTTCTTGAAAGGCTTTGTTCCCCACAAATGAGAACCCCAGCATCGTCCCTCCAGTCCTGCCCGAGATCTTGATGCTCGCGACGGATCCAGCGCCTGGAGCCCCATCACTCCTTGCGAACAGCCTCTGGTACAAGTACATGACATCGCCCGATTGGGCCTGGAAAGTATGGGACAATACGGTCGCCAGTCTACGTCAGCTTCCCGCTATGCTGTCGGACGTTGCTAGTCGCCGGGAATGCGCCCTACGCTACGCCACGTTCCTGCTGCACGTCGATCAACACCTTCCCCGAGGATTCGACGAGCAAATCCGATCCTGGCTTCTGGGCTCTGGGAGAAACGAGATTGCTGCACTCACGACGGAGACCTGGGATGTGGTCACTGTGGTTCTCTTGTACCTCAACTGCTATGGAGCGCTTGCTACTACCACCATCCTCGAAAGTCTGGTCTTTCAGGTCTGGCAAGCAGGCGCAAATGTTGCCTCTGAGGAACAGGGCCAAGCATTGGAGACACTGCTGACGTCGGTCAACAACCTGTTCGAACATCTGCTTCTCAGGGACGAATGTGGCACAGGCCTCCCGCCTGCCGATGTCTTTGAGGCCCAAGGGCTTATGACTCGTCGTCGGGACGTCTTTCGTGAACCTCACTTCTCCTTACTGGTATCTCACTTTCCCGCTCTCGTCCTTATCGAACAGAATCGGTTTCTCTCGGAGACGCTGAGGGCTGCGTCCTCGACTCTTCGCAAGACAATATGCCGAGTAAACGTCTTCCGTCAAGGTATTTATCGCGACCTCGATGCCGTCCGCATCACCTTCGAGAAGCTTCTCGAGTCCCAGAGTATACCGGACGACCTGCACGAGCCTCTGGTTAGTGCGTTACGGTTGATGCTCAATGACCCAGGTCAAGGTAAGCGATGGTGGTTCCCGTGCGCGACGTATAGCTGATAACCAACTTGGGTCTAGATGGTCCTGTAAATGCTGCTGATCTCCACTCCGTGTCCTCCTTGCTCAGTCACTGGAAGCTGGCTGCCACATCTATCGAGATAAGGCTGACAATCAAACAACTGCAGGAGGGCATGTCGCGCGAGTCAACTCGTGTTGCGGCATGCGCCAGTCTGGACAGACTCACGTCTGCCGTCTTCTACTCTTGTAAACAGCCCGAAGAGGCAGACTTCATTGCGGACCTGATCATAGACGTGGATCGGACTGTTGCCGGGAAGGTATGTGCACTTCGTCGGCCGACAGTACGGGCATCTTATTCACTATGTCCATCCTGGCAGTTTGTTAACGCGGGCCTCAAGCGGGTAACCGACATCTTCCGGGAATGGGACCCACTCCTGGACAACAGGACCCACAATGACCTGAAGAAATGCGCGAGCGAAATCCTTCGCCTCATGGCCAACATAGTTGCTCCATTCAGACAAGATGCTTCGCTGCCTCAGCTCGACCCTCCCGTCCAAGATATATTCTTCTCAGTGCTCTGCGCCAAGATCAAGAAGATGACAGAGAGTATGGCAACCCTTTTGCGGAATCCATGGGAAGAGTCGGCGGCTAGGGGGACGCAAGCAGTCGTCTTTCTGGCCCGAATGTTGCAGTTCCACCTGGGTTTTGCCATCAGCTGGAGTCAACAGGCGAAGGAGAATGCGGAAGAGCTATGCCGCAATCTAACTCAACTTGCTCTAGTACGTATCTACTGGGGCGTCTGACGAGGTCAACATGCTAATGCCATCTAGATGTACGGCACTGGAGACAGCCTGAACATGCTAGCATTTCCGTTGATCCTTGATACCCTGTGCTATACCTTGGATGGTGAGTGTACTGCGAGCGTTACTTTTGAAAACATGCTGACGCCACTTTGACAGAGATACCAGGAGACATCAAAGCGACGGTGCCCTTTGACCCCTTCCGCAACTACCCCGAGTTCAATCTTTCTGAGCTCCCCGCTGATTTGCCACCGGAATACAAGACCCGTATGCGTAGCCTCCTCCCGTATGTTGAGCTGAACCCCGCTGTCGAAGGCCTTATCTACACCACTCGTGATGCTTCTGGAGCGCTAATTAGCTCCGTCCCTGTGCAAAATCGCCCCTGGGAATGGACAGAGTACATCGGAGAGAACCCTGCCGGTGACCTGTCCAGAGGAGGGGATGAGCGCGCGCTGGACGGTCGAACACAAGTGAAGAACTCCGCAGCGCTTTCGCTCGAGCTCTTCGAGGCACGAGTCACTGGAGATCGCATCATTCTCCCTACCCGGCAAGTTCATCAGGGCTTTGCCGGTGATGTAGAGGACATGATGGCAGAAGAGAATCTCCGCTCTTTCCAAGACGACGTATACTCTGAGGGCCCATTTCGCCGCGACTGGCGTGAGACGCGGATACCTCTTAGCGACGGTACTCGGTCGGGCACTGGCTCCCGGGGCAATTCAGCTGGTGACGACAACAGTGGTACCGGTGTCCCTCCCTTGCCTGCTCTGATTGGACATGCTTCCCGGAACACAACTACGGAACGCCGCCCTTCATCACGCGGACCATCACCAGCATCGTCCGTCCGTTCGGCTGGCTCAGCACGCTCTGTCGCCTCTCTACGCCAAAGTCCCGCTCACGCGCTGAGCCGTCTCTCTGTCTCTACATCAGGGGACATTATCGACGCAGATGCTCTGGATGGGGGAGGATCTGGGACGGGATCGTCAAACAAGCGCAAGACGATGAGCACAATTGCAGAAGAGGACAGTGACATCGAGATCATCGAGGGTCCTATCCCAAAATCTCAAAATCGTGCGCAAAAGCGAGCGAAAGGGAGAGCGGCTGAGAAGTCCACTAGTAAGACAACCAAGAGCAAGAGATGATGGATTGCAAGATGCCCTCGAAACCCCAGGCTCTCATAACTTTTTATTCCCTGTACACCTGTGTCTTGTATCACTGCGTTTCTCGCTCTGAAAGTAGTATATGTAATGATAGCAATGCTGCATAGTGTCACTGTTGTTCTATAACGATGGATGACACGGAAGGGAAGACAAGGCTAATGAGATTCTGACGTTGCGGTGAGCCTGTGACAATGATTCGTTCCATTGCTTCCGATGTGGTCAACACTGGGGGGATCGAAAGGAACGCACTGTCCTTTGATCGCATCTCAGATGGTGATCAGCGACGACACAAGTGTATGTTTTGTTTTCAGGGAACGGTAGCATCTACGACGTATGAAAGACCGATCTGCACATGGTATACCTCCAGCCTCCTTCAACAACTCGCTTGCGACGCCTATTCGACCTCGGTGCTTCGCGGTCAGAGGCTGTCTAGGAACTCCGTAGCTTCTTTCCTGGACAGACCACCATCTTCCCATTCGCCATTGACAGCCTTCCTCAGTTCCTCGAGTCTTGCACGTTTCTTCGCGCCATCCTCACCGAACGCCTTCTGCAGGACGTCCCGTACCTCTGCCTTGACCGCCTCAATGGTGCCCTTCGGCGTATAGCCCGTGCGGTAAATAGGTTTGAGCCCATTGCCAGTACGGACCTCTAGCAGCTCGTAGCCAATCTGGAGCTGGTCGGATATGTGCACGGCATTCGCAGGCTGGTCGCCACCGAAAGGCCAGAGGATCCTGCTCAGGTTATCAGCCACCATACGCTTCATCGCAGGCTACGATGCGTAAGTACGTACTGAGGGACACCGGCAGAGACTGCCTCCGTAACGCCATTGTGGCCACCATGGGCGATGAACCAACCCGTGGCCTACGTTCATTCCTAAGAAAAGCACTTCCCGTTGATCCGTAGAGGGGAACATACCGGGTGGTCTAAGATCAGCTGTTGAGGCGTCCATGAAGATATAACGCCCTTCCCATACGCTTTAACTTTCGTTTTGATTTCTTCGGGGACCTTGGCGAACGGAGAGGCAATACTCAAGATCTGGGTCGCATATGAGAACGGGATAGGAGAACAGCCATACAATACGAACTACTCACAAACGGGATATTGAGTTCCATGAGGACGTCGAGAACGGCCCACACGTTCTCTGGCTTGCTACTTGGCCAAAATATTGAACCAAACGATAACTGCATGAAATAAATGTAGGGGATGAGGTGCTATGCTAGCTGAAGCCCACTCGGAGAAGTCTGCTCTCACGTAGACGAGAGACTTCTCCCCAAACGTCTTGAGGGCCGCATCGAGGAGCTCCTGAACCTCACTTGACTCGCTCGATTGTGTCTTCTCGTTGTCCGCCGCGGTCGTCTTCGATGCAGATGGCAGAAGGGGACCGACGGCGTACGCCGGGCGTCCTGTTTCCCCAAACCATGCCTTCGCGGCAGCTACAGCCTCTGGCTCGTAGGATGTCGGAGTGAACAATAAGATCCCATCAGACGCCTGGAGGGTTCTGAAACAGGATTAATCATGCATTTCAACTGTCCAGAAGGGATGATGCGCACTCAAACGTTCGCGGGAATACCTCCCCAATGCCATCCGGGAAGGGGAACTTCAAGAATAGTCAAGGATATGCACCGTCTGTGAACGATCCCGACGACTCACCTCTTGAGGAAAATATTCGTGATCGTACATGGGGACCATTCCGGGGATGCGTACCACTCTGCCAGTCGGCTTGAATGCCACCTAGAGAAAGGTCACGACTAATCTGGATGTACTAGCGGACCCGCACACACCTCGAGTCCGACCTCCTTGAAGGATCGACCAGTCCGACGAGCTTCCTCTTCCACAATGGGGCGAACGTTGCCCCTGCCACCGAGGTTCTCCGGACCGAATAGGTAGAACAAGGAGTACGTGAGTCCTGGGTGCCAAGAGAAAACTTTCACAGTATCTCTACTGAGAGCCTTGATGGACTCGAAGGGTCCGACGGAGAAAAACTGGATGCATGTTACACCTTTCTGCACACAATCGACGGACAATAGCTGTACTCACGTCGATGATTATCGCCTTGGGCTTCGGGAGGGGTGCAAAACGCGAGCCTGTCTGTTTGCAGACGAGCTCTTCTTGGGAGACGATTGACCTCCATGCTTCCCTAAACTCTTCGTCACCTCCGGCGGAGAACATGAGGTGAGCGTCCTTATGAATTGAAATGACCCTTCAATCAACGTCAGTGGTGAAACAGTCATCAGCGCTTGGAGACTTGCCTGACGCGTTCGGCGACTCCTTCGTCACCAGCCTCGAAACTACGCGCCAGCTCTTTTATGATACGATCGTAGAAGCCGTTCGAGGTGAACAGAGTGACGGTAACGGGACGTAGCTTGACGAAGCGGGCAAAAAGATTGATGAGAGGGCGTGCATGACCTACATGTCATGGTCGGGATAAATGAGCGCGACATTAATATCGAAGACGACAAGAGACATTGCGCACCCCACCCCTGGTCTGGATAGCCAACGATGTGTGTCCGAGTGGTCGACATCGTGGCCTTCTAGGTAGAGACTACAACGAGGTATGCAAACCTCTGGGATATCGGGCCAGAGAGGTATCAAACCTCCCAACCCACGCGGTCTTAGTGATACGCGTCGGTTAGAGTTTCGGTTAGGGTTTGGGTTTGGGTTTGGGTTCGGTTAGGGTTCGGGTTCGGGTTTGGGTTAGGCGCTATTCACACCTCCTCCTCCCCCAAAGGGGAGGCCGTCTGTATTTATCGCGCGAACGAGGCTTTAGAGTGCCCGCCTGAGTGCTCCCGGCTCGGGGGACCCCCCGAGCGCAGCGAGGGAGGGGAGGGAGCACGAATGGCGGGTCCTCTTCGCGCAAACCCTAAATCTGGCATCAAACGCCACAATGCTGATTGAGAACTTTGATCATC